CCCATTCTTTGTTTTACATTTTTAATGATTTTCAACAACAACTGCATATTTGTCAAAATCAAGTTCTGAATGCTGTACAAAACAAACAAACCAAAAAAACAAATTGTACTGAAATGAACTCAACTCAAAGCAATTATGAAATATGTACAAATGCATAGAGATTGTATTCAAGCACTATATTTTATCACAAGAAGATGCATAGAGGATCCAGCATATAACACAAGTCAGTGTCACCAAAAGATTATTCATGCTTCCAGACACAGCAAATGCAAGTCAATAAATATGATTGAACACCAGTTTTAAAAAGTAGGAAGCAAAGAATGACTTCCCTTTGGAATCAAGTAGAAAAATAGTTTGACTTTCATTACCAATGTTTAACATAAACAATTCACTTCTGAAGATATGCATCTGGTATTAACTACACACGTAAGTTGATCCCCACATGTGACTTTCTAGAGACAATAATCAAACAATGCTTTCAATTTACGGAAGCCAAGAACAGACTAAATGATTTTACTTTATCCTGTTATCTAAAGATTATGATTTAATTATTTGATAACCTATTCTGGGCTGCAGCTAATGATAGTAACATAAATGATAGAAAATGTTAATAATTCCGATTTGTGTTACCAACAGTCCTAAAACAAAGTTACAAAATTTAGCATTTGTGCTAGTAAAAAAACAACAATTTTATCGTATTATTATAATATTATTGTTTTAATTTTCCCAAATCAAAATTTGCAAGACAATTATTCAAATACAAGACCAACAAGAAAAATCAACTTGTAATCTGCAATAGAAGGTAAAATAAAATTATTGCAACATTGACTGTTCAACAGAATAAGAGTCAACAATTTGAAGTTATTTCAGATATATAGTTTTTCTGGCTCTAGCTTCTCCAATGTGCGAATATGCTGTTTTGTTTTCTGTCATATGGGATCATAAACTGAATATCTTTGGGATTCAGCCTCTGGTGAGACATTTTAAAGTTTCACTATTTTCAGAAATTTTATTGCCAAAAAATTGCAATCAAACAATTTGAAAGGATTCATTGATAATGGAAATAATTGTTAAATGCAGCTCTATTTTAAACCGGAATACTTCATGAGCTAATAGATGCAGCCTCATTTTGAATAATGTTTGTGCAAAAATGCACACAGAGACAAACTGTACCCTACAAGTGCTAAAATTATGTTTAGCAAAGAAAATGAAACAGGGACAAAGTGTGTGTGAGTGTGGCAAACAACATGAGGAGAAACATTTTCTACAAAGATGACACATTCCGCCCTGTCCATTAGTGCATTAAAACTTGAGCAGCATAAAACCCTGCACCGATCCACAGTCGAGACAAAAAGTCATGAGTGTGCGTAAGAATCTTTGTGCCACTGTCTTGCGTCTCTGTCTCTACCTCGATCCCTATCTCTGTCTCTTTCCCTGTCCTTGTGTCTTTCTCTATCCCTCTCTTTGTCTCTATCTCTATCTCTGTCTCTCTCTCTCTCTCTTTCTCTATCTCTGTCTCTGCCGTGGTGATGATGGTAGTTGTGTTGGTTTTGTACAGGATAGTGATCCGCGTGGTGTGTCCGCGGTGGAATGTGCTGGTGATGCCTGTGCTGCCGATTGCGTTCATTGTGCTCCTGCTCATAGTCCTCTTCGACGTGTGGCTGACTGTTGCCACGGTGATGCTGATGGTGGTGGTGGTGATGCTGGTGGTTGCTGTTATGATGGTGGTGGTTGTGGCCCTTGTGGTTGTAGCGAGCCTCCTCCTCGTCCTCCTCCACTGGATCCTCCGCCTCCTCCTCCCTCTCCTCGTGCAGGTGCCTGCGGGGAGGCCTCTGGCTGTAATCCCTGCTGGACTGTACTTCCATGCCACCGGGTGTCTGGCTGTGCTGGGTGTTACTGTGGTGCTCCATCCGACGGTGGTGGTGGTGATGGTGATGGTGGTGGGTGTGCTGGGATCTCTTTGGTTCAGTCCTCAGGAGCCGCTCCTCCTCCTCTCTTTGGCCCCCCTCACCCCTCTGCTCCTGGGCCTGGGCTGAAGGGGGATCCTGGTCTAGGTGGTTCTCACGGGAACCCTTCCTCTTGGGGGCTGCTGACTTTTTGTTCTTCTGCTCATCCTGGAAGAAAACAATGTAACATATCATCTGACTATAGTCACACCACATACATACGATACATGTTTTCACCTTATCACACATTTGTATTTTCAAGTCCATGAACACAAAGTCAGATATACACACAGCGGTTGTTTTGGAGGCAGCTGGCCCACATGTGCTTATTCGCAGCCTCACCAGAGGCAATTAGGATATTCTTGGATGATTATACTCAGATTTATCATGGGACCCCGGAACGAACAACGCAGGCTTTCTGCAACTGAGCTCTCACAGACTCATTAGCTGCCTCAGGCTTCTCTGGAACTACTGTTTATTCTTTTTCTA